GATAGAATTAGTCTGTAATTAATATTTTAAAGGGCTAAATGTCAGTATAAATGTGCAAATAAACTTGATTATCTGGGGCTGTACATAACCTGAATTTTATATTTATCATCGGGAAATTAGTTAATTACGTAGGAAAATTGTCTATGGAAATCTTTGTTTATATTTTAAAAACATTGTATCAAAGATAATAATCATATCTTTTATTAGGCTGATAATTGCAATTAATTACACGTATTGAAATCTAAACAGTATACGACTATCTTGCCTTTGGTAAGACGACTGGTTTCTCAGTTGGAACTACTATAAATACACACGTATCATTTGCTAAAATTATACTTTTTCTACATTTAAATCAATTATTTATTTAAAACATTGACAAATATCAAATGGAAACCCTTATTGTACAACTACAAAAGTCTTCATACATTTTTACAACTACTTAAGTCTTCATACATTTTTACTTCCAATATAAGATTACCTACTTTGAACTTTTCATGAGAGTAGAATATGCATATTTAAAATAAACCAGAATTTATATATTTTATCGAATATTCGAATATATTCGAATACTTTCATCGAATATTCGAATATGAAAAATGGACAAAATTGACATCCCTAATATAAACGGTGATTTTTTTATACATGTTGCACGTGACATATACCTATCATGAGTAATGAGATTTAAAAAATTCCAAGAGATGTTTATTCCGAAGATTACAAGCTCAACAATAGCTTTCATAGATATTGCATTAGAGTTACATATGAGGTAATATTTTAGAATGTGACTATTAGGTTAAAGCTTTTTGAGCACTCTTAGTTCCAATTATTCAAGGAATAACGAGTCCTGCATAATTTAAAATTATAGTTTGCACTAAAAATGGAATCGTTTATTGGTCTAGTGGTTCGAAAAAAGGAAATATTCCTTAAATTTGACCTTATCCTAGAGTTATTCGGCATAGTGCGGAAATTAAAACTGTCATTCCAAGTAGAACTGAGAGGTATTGTTTAGAATTTATTCTTAATGTAGCTAACGTAGTGCCAATAGAATATATGTAAAAAGTATTGAAATAACAGATGTTTTATGCTTAAAATGGGTAGGGTTAGAACGATTTAATAACGTATCATGACCATAGAAAAAGTCGCAAAGGAGTTGGGTGAACAAGGCGTGCAGAATGCCTATATCTTAAAGGGTTTTTATCACGTTTCAGAATTTTTTGATATGACAAAGTTTACATGCTATTAAAATCATATATGTAATAATCTTTGCTAGAAAAATTAATATTTTTGATGTTTCAGCGATTCAAAGTTTGAATTTCTCAATATGCATATTTTGATCGCCGATGTTACGCGCCATTGCTCTGACGTCATAGGTGTCAATCCTGGTCAAGCGAAGTACTTATTGTGTATACAAAAGGGCTCATTTGTTGTGTCTTTTAAACCTGTTAGAAAATAATTAAGTGATAATTGAATAATTGACAACTTGTAAGGTATAATGTATGGCTTTATGGTGCGCAAATGTGCACAAGAAAGGTTTTTGGAAGAATTTTTTCCCCACATTTTCCTGGACTTGGTCGAGAGATAAAAGGGGGGCCTTTCTCTGCAAATACGATGGTGTTTATCTCCATTCAGAACAATTGTTTATGCCCGATCGATCACGATTTTTTTTCTTCTGTCCTATAAAATAGTTTAAGGAAAGATACTTTTTAAAAAAAAATAATAAATGACAAACACGCATTTTTTAAAAGTCGCACAGAATCTAGTAGAAATTTTGAGAACTTTCGTAATGGCGTACGGCGCCATTGAAGAAGTGGCATTTCTAGTACATGATATGCACTGCTAGAACAGATAGAAGATATACAGTATATTTATTTATGATTAATCAAAATAATAATGAAGAGGAATTTAAAATTCCCATATTTATAATTGTTTACGAAGTTAAACTTTAGTAATCCGTTCTATTTAGTTGAAGTCCCGAGTTGTCAACGGCTTCATATTCGGTGACCTCTCTCCAATTGTTGGCATATTTTAGGGTTATTTCTCTCTGCTAGACGTTCATACCTAAAAGATTGACCGTCCATAACCAAAGGAATTAGTCTATGTCAAAATTTCAAAAGGCCATACTGTGAATTCTATTTATTTAGCGTAAAAATCTATTCAATATATTTTTTTTCTTACGATAAGCTTTACGAGTTCTATTGACCATTGACACCTATGACGTTTCAGTACCACGTGACCCCTATCTAATTAGTGGAGATTTTTACTTCGAGGACCCTATATTACGGGCGTTTTATCGTCTAATTACTGCCGTTTTCAACATTATTTCTTAATTAAACGATAATAATATGTTTCAAGAATATAAAAGTGTTTCATTTTTAAGAAATTTAGATACGTGATAAAAACCCTTTAAGATATAAAAAAAAATATTCAATTTGTGAATATAGAGTTCTTTTTATTGAACTTAGTGAAATTTTGATATTTAAAAACATTTCTGAGAAAAAAAATTTCGGCAAAAATTATTCTTTTATTAAAAAAATAATATGGTATTCAAGGGGTTCGAATCCCTAGCAAAAGAAATCCCGAGTTTCACTTTCCCTTTTTTGACGAACCACTACGCTACACAACTCCTGATGAATAGTGGCATTTAACTCTTTAAATCATATATGTGACATGACCCTAGACTAAATGGACTTCAAGTATTCCTCAGAAAGATGCGAATATTGTATCATAAAAATGTATTTTTTTTCCTGCATGTTTTTTGTTAACCAAAAAAAAAAAAATTTTATGCAGACTTTGACGATAGAGAGAAGACCCACGGATATCTAATATCGAAAATTGTGTTATAGTATGAGAATATGACCATTTTTGCCCTCTTTAGTGTGTTTATGCTATTTCATAGGGAAATAATTTCAATTTTTGCAATCCAACAATACAATATTATTGATCAATGAAATATGGAGATAACGAACAGTAATCAAGATCAAAAGTCCATTGAAACAATACAAATCAGGAGCAGAGCAAACATGGACCTCTAAAATCATCAGAGGTTGGATCAGGTGCCATGGAGGAGTAAGCATCCCCTGTCGACCGGTCACATCCGCCTTGTGCTCTTTGGCATGATCGGGCAAACTTAAAAATCGGTAGACAATTCAGTGTGTAAATAATGGCCTAACAGTTAGTATGAAAAACGTCAGTCAGCATTTGACTTAATGATAGATTGTATTTACTGACAAGGTCAATGTATTGACTTTAAACGAGGCTGTTGATATCTTGTTTCATCAACTTGTTTGTCAATAGTTTGCCTCGTTTTAGATATTGTTCGTACGTAGAGCATACTCTTGCGTATCGAATCAACTGGGAGACATAAACTCCATATGCAGGTGATAAGGATATATTGCTACATAAATAAGGGAAGTTGACGATTGAAATGTGGAAGTCATCACGTTTCTCATAAAGTTTTATAATATCAAGTATACATGAAGGTAATAGAAACCTTTTATGAAACGTTGAATCAAGAGGAAATCGTGAAGAAATGTTGATTAAGTGTACAGTGATTAAAAAAATTGTTTACGCCATTTTTCAAAAAGAGTAAAATATGACATAAAATATCTCTGAATTAATAGATCTATCAAATCATGACCTCTCGGATAAGATTTTATCATGAAAGTACACATGCATTAATTATTTTTCTGGGGACGTCAATGGCGTTGAATAGAAAGTGAAACAGTTGTAGGTTCTTGACAAATGCCACCCGTAAGCCAACTGCTTTGAAACAGAAAAGACGCAACCCTGGTCAAATGACTGTACAAAAGCCACAAGTAAGCCAACTGCCTTGAAACAGAAAAGACGCAACCCTGGACTAATGACTGTACAAATGCCACCTGTAAGCCAACTGCCTTAAAACAGAAAAGACGCAACCCTGGTCAAATGACTGTACAAATGTCACAAGTAAGCCAACTTCAAAATTATTTCAAGAGTTATATTGCTTTCAAATTTTGAATTAAGTCTGTTCTCAGTTTATGGTCTTGGATTCTGATCTAATGACTGTCAAGAAACGTATGTGATGTTTGACCAATGCAGCCATCCACATAATCTATCTTAAACAAAATTACGAGCAAAAGTTCTACCAGCGAGGATTGATGGACACAAGATAGTCTTACATTACTGCACACACCCTAACTTTTATTTGAGACAATTTCAATCATTATTAAGATTTTACTATTTCTTTTGGTAAAGAGTTTGCTGTCTGCACGAACCAGGACTGCCCTCTTTTTAGCTCATCTGAGCCAAACACTCATGTAAGCTTTTCTGATCGACATTTGTCTGTCGTACGTCTGCCGTCTGTTATCTTTTCACATTTTCAACTTCTCCGGAACCACTGAGCCAATTTCAACCTAGCTTGTCGCAAAACGTCCCTGAATAAAGGAAAGACAATTATTTTCAAATAAAGTACACGCCTTCTCTCAAGAGGATTTCATTGAGAATGATAGATGGTGTCATTTTAGAACCTTATTAAGAATCATAGTGTATATTGATGCTTGTTGCCAAAATTCAGTTTCAGGGCGTGAGAACATTTTGTCTTCCGCTTGAAATAAAATATCAATGTAGGTATAGCTTGATTCAATTGATTATAAATAAAAACAACGTTTAAGCATGAAAATAATGTTTTTAATTCTTGATATACATATATTTAAAAAGTAAAGTAACAATGTTCAACGTTGTATAATATATATTTAATTGCATGGATTCTTTCCAGTGAAATCCAACCTAGACACAAATGTCACAGTACCATTTATTTCTTACTAATATTTCTTACTTAAAGAATTTAAAATTTTGCTTCAGTAATTCTAAAACGTAAAATCTCCGGTTGGAATGAAAATCAAGAACGGAACTGTCCATGCTGGAATGTTGTTATAATAAGAATGGTTTTAAGTGAAGAAGAAACAAGAAAACCTTTAAAATGTATATATACATTATAATCGAACAATAATCTTCTTGTAAAACATTAAAATCTCATCAACTTTAAAATATTTCACTCATACTTTACACGTATATCAAACAATAATACAAGAAAAACAGTATGACAAATAAATTACAATAAATAAACAAATATCAACAACTCAGAAGAAGTATGTACATTATCAATGAATAAATTACCACGTTATGCTTTCAGGGCCATTCACACATGTCTTCTGTATTAAGAATAAATATAATTATAAATAAAGCATTAGTTGAAATGTTCGCAAGTTGAATATCACGCATTTGTGTGCTGCAAATTTTATAAGAATTATTCGAAACATCTGCTTAATGGTACGGGAAAATATCAAAGAACGGTTAAAAAAAAGAAGTGGATATCAGAGAAAAGAAAAAAAAGAAAATACTATATTGTGGGGTTTTTTTTATTAAGGAATGAAAGCAAAAAATTCCGGAAGTGATTGCGAATTTTGATCACTTGAAATGTGATAAGTCGTGTCTGGTTGTTTCTTTTCTTTGGTTGTATATAAAAATACAACCGGATGTTGATCGGCCATGGCAGTGATCTATGTCAAATGGAGTCTGTGACAAAACTGAGACAGATTCTGTTCCTCCTTTACTTGTCGATTTCCTCTGCTAACAAAAATCTTCCAATAGGCGTTAACTCTCTAGTGTCACGTGTTCACTTGTGTGGGCTTTAGAAATAATTATCATTCCTGCAGGGAATGTCATTTTCTTATTTCTTCTTTCAGTTTTGAGCGGGGAATGAAAAGGTCTGTAAGTTTTTACACACTACATCCAGATGTCCATAAAATCTAGAACGTACTCAAATTCATCTCGCTCCACGCATCCATCACCTTCATTAAATAAAAATATTCATGTTTTAATGAAAATTATGTGGTCATTTGTGATGCTTTTAACACACTAACTTACATAAAAGTAAACCTTCATCACAAATTTAAGAAGGTTAAGTATAAAACAAAAGCTATTGTGGCCACTATCCCGAACCTGTGCACAAGCATCTCATTTACAGGCTTGTGTAAACTTTGAAAAAAAAGTCACAATCCCTTTCAAAATGGGATTTAGTTTTTATAGTCGCGCTAATGTAGGATTATTTTTAGTTAACAAAGTTTAACATCAAAATTACATGTATTTTATTTGTGAAAGGCGAAGCTCTCTTTGTAATATCATAAACTCCACTTACCATTTAAATCAAACATTCGGAACATCTCGGAGATAAATCTATGTTTTGTTCCAAAACTCTTTGAGTGGTGTCTGAAGCGAGAGTGTAAATTCCCCTGGAGTTCATTTCTCTTGTCCCACCTCACTCCCACGGCACCTAAAATTAGAATCAATTTTAAAATTCAATTAAAATTTCATGAATATGTCAAAAGCGAGCAGAAATGAATGTGTGCTGTATAGAAAATACTTTAGCGGTTTTTTTTCCAATTGTACTTTCTGCAAAAATCCATGCATTCTACGTAATTAATGAATATATGGGTTGTGAAGGAACTTTAAGGTTCATTATCCCTCTGCTTACTCATACAAAATCTTTCCTTAAAACTTATGTTTTTCCAAAAGAATTCTAATTTATAATTAAAACGCATGCAATTTCAGCATACTTTGCGGGGCAACATTGGACAGAAAAGGCCTGTTAACTTGACGGTTTTATAAAGGAATAATAGTCATTTATACCAGTTAGAGTTATCTCTCTTATCAGAGTGTCGATGAACCTTAATATTCAGTGTTTACTCGCACACAGGAAACAATAGTGAGAACAATCAGGGCCGTATTAAAGATCGCAGATGTCTAGTCTAGCAGCTAGGCTACCTGCTAAGTCTTATGAACACACTATACATGTATGAGTTAACGCTTGTTATTCTATGAAGCGGCTTGGTTAGCATATCGTGCAAGATAGTAGCTCTAAGTGGCTGCTTCGATCTTGAACACAGCCAAGATGCCATCTCCCTTCTCGTCAAACGATGTAGAACTCATAGTGAAATTCCAGAATGTCTCTAAATCGTACGATACCTATATTTATATTTATTTATTTCTTTTCAGCAATATATGCCGAGCTAACTATGTGTTAATGTATTTATATGTATTTTAAAGAAAACTATTATGTGTAGAGAAATATCAGTTGATATTGAAATCTGTTATAGATCCTGCTTTTAGATTTGATGTCAATCAGTCTCCAAGTCACACGGTGCTAAGAACGTTCAGAATTCTTCTAATTGAGTCAATACTACCATAAAGTTGCTATATATACCCGCGGATGAAGACAGTGAGATTGAGATAGCGGAATAGTTCTTGCGTACCTCGTCACAACAGCGTCATACTTGTTTCCCATGGCATGAGGCCTCTGCCTTTGGCGTTTGGGTTAATCTGTATTTTTTATAGCTATTGTGAGAGATGATGTTTTTCGTTGAATATTTTGACCATTATTTGAAGCTTGACGTCTTATCGCATGTGTTATAACCAATTTACGTACGGCTACATAGACCTCGATCTCGATTGTATATATCCGATCGACTCCATCGAAAGTTCAATGCCACGGTAACGCCTACACTTATTGAAACAAATCCGAGTATACCACGATTTCGATCCTTTTACAGCCATTAATTGTACATTTTATATATACAAACACATTTCAGTTGTCTTGAATTTGATGATGATTTTTGTGTTTTATCTTTAAAAAGTAAGAATCAAGGTCGGTCAGATGGAACTAGCAATACTCGAAGAGAACGACTTTTTAACCTTTACTAAAGCCAAGAGTCCCTGAAATCTCCAGTTTAAAGCTGTTCGTACGGTTGCAATATATTGGTACATTTATATAAGTCACTTTCTATAACCCGGTATGACAGACGTAGAGGATATAAACGCTTATAGAGAAAATCTGACATCAATTGTGTTTAATCTCATATTTTCATACTATAGACAATGAAAATAACCAGGCGCCAATTACAGAAAACTTTAAAAACCACTTTGTCTGAGATGAATTCCTGGTTCTGTGTTCTGATGGTTATTTGATCCTTGTACTGCATCACTGATGCTTGTTTAAAAAAACCACTATTAAAAGGAGAGTGAACCTTTAGATGGGAATTTCCGTATATTGATGGGCGTTGGTACTCCGACACAAATGAATATAGGCAATCCATCAACTGCTCTATTGCTTGTAACTATTAAAACAATGTGTATTTCGGGGGAGGTAGACAAAAATAGAAGACCATGGTATTTTATATTTCACTTTTCTTTCATAATTGTTCTCATAACGCTATTTCGAGGACCATTGCTCATATTAACAATGAAGATGATTTTTGTTATCTTGTTGAAACTTTTTTTTCCATTACCATTGATTTTTATTGTTCGTGTTTGATTTGAAAAGAGACGAACGCGCTAACCCTTGTAATTTTTTTTCTGTTCTTGAGAATCTTTATAGACCATACAATATATGTATTGTGCCTTACATTTGTCGATGAGGTCGATTTACTACTGATTTTTCCCTTCTAAGCTTTTATGAAATAACGTATGGTTCGGTTGAAAATGGATTACTTTTTCGATATATTGTTTCAACGAATTTATCCCGGTTTATCTGTTTTTAACATATTTTTATTATTGGCGCTAACAGAAATGTTTGTAAACTTGCTTGAACTATAAATATTGAACAAATTTACTTCTACCAGTGCAGAACTATTTCCAAGTTTATAACTATCCTAATTTCCCAAGAGGTCCTTCCAATACGATTAGCTTGGTGTTGTTTAATTCTGTTATAATTTAATTTTCTTGAATTCGAACCTTTTTCGGAATAACAGGAGGACGTTTTGCACCTGATTTGTTTTTCTGATGGCTAATCAACAATAAATTTACCGTTAATGTTGTCATTTTTCCTGACAAATCCTACAGAGGGGAAATTCGTATAATTAGGAGCTCCGTCGATTGCCCGTCCTCCTGGTACCATTGCTGGGAGCTGGGATAGTTAATTGAGACCTACATTGCTTTGAAGGTAAAAATTATGACCGTCGTCTCTGCAAATGCGAACTACAGGTTTTTTGAGGGATTAGATAAGCTAATTATCTGCTGGAGTTTACGACGCCCTTCAGTTTTAGTAGACGATTTATTTAATACCGGTTTTCTTTTACTTCTATATACTTTACGATCAGTTTGCTTGATCTTTTCAACTGTTTTATTAAAAAATTTTATATTTCTTTTCATTCTTCAAAAAAGAATGGAAAAAATGAAGACAGATTTAATTTTCAATATTCCTTTCACATATAGAGTGTCATTAATTGGAAAAATAAAACGTCAGCTTTATTAAATCGATTGAATTAATAAATTATAAGGGATGGAATTGCAAACGACTATTTCACCTATTCCGTCAAGAACATGAAGCAAGACATATCAGACAACTTATATTTTGCCTTTCAATCGATAACGTATTTATATTTCTCATGACTGACTATACAAGACACAGTCAGTAGTGTTTAGTTATATGGTTTGTGGTTTTTAATTTGCCACTGCCTATATGAATTACATCTCTCCTTCTATTTTAAAGTCTATGTTACTTTGTATTATATCTGCCTGAATGGCTACATGAATTTTGAAAATTAAATACATATTTAAATGTTATTTCAGCTTTCAAATACTATTGTATACGTCAAACAGATGTTACCTTTTTACATATTTTAATTGTTTTGTTTGCATTTTTAATTGATCTTTAATCGATAGTTACAGGCATCATGACGTATGATATTTGATTGTGTAAATAATTTTGCCTCGCCTTTAAGGTTGATATGTAGTTCTCAATTGTGAAGTTTTATTAGTTGATTTGCCATTTGTAATTGAAAATTTAACGTTGATGTTACTATTGAAAGCTGACATCACCTTTCGTAATCTGATTGTAAAGTTAAAATCTGGAGATTCTACTACATGTTATAGTGTAAGACATCAAGACGTCCCTCCCCCTCAAAACTAAATACTATGAGTGTTGATTCAAATTTGATTATAAGGTACTAGTACAAATATAATACTGAAAATAACATTTTTTTTTTTTTTGAAAGATTTCAAATATCAATTAAATATAGTTTCATGTAGAATAAGCATTTTCTGCGTAGTTATCGATGTCGAACAACGAAAAGTTTTAAGGCTTCTAACCCTCTCCCCTTAACTATTTGAATTAAGTCTTTCATTCGAAATCTTTTCATATAGCCCCTAAGTTAAAGTTGACAATGCTTTTATAATCTGATTGTGAAGTAAACGTTGACGTACTTTTGTACTGAGATTGTAAACGTTGACGTACTTTTGTACTGAGATTGTAAACGTTGACGTACTTTTCTACTAAGATTGTAAACGTTGACGTACTTTTCTACTAAGATTGTAAACGTTGACGTACTTTTCTACTAAGATTGTAAACGTTGACGTACTTTTCTACTAAGATTGTAAACGTTGACGTACTTTTCTACTAAGATTGTAAACGTTGAGGTGCTTTTGTACTGAGATTGTAAACGTTGACGTACTTTTCTACTAAGATTGTAAACGTTGACGTACTTTTCTACTAAGATTGTAAACGTTGACGTACTTTTCTACTAAGATTGTAAACGTTGACGTACTTTTCTACTAAGATTGTAAACGTTGAGGTACTTTTATACTGAGATTGTAAACGTTGAGGTACTTTTCTACTAAGATTGTAAACGTTGAGGTACTTTTATACTGAGATTGTAAACGTTGAGGTACTTTTGTACTGAGATTGTAAACGTTGACGTACTTTTGTACTGAGATTGTAAACGTTGAGGTACTTTTGTGCTGAGATTGTAAAGTACACGTTGCAGTTTAAATATGAAATATTTTCAGCTCATCGTTAGGTTAACGTTGACTTTTATTTTGAACTCTAATTAATGTAAATTAAATTTACTATTATAAATTGTGTTCTAGTATCAAAGTCAAAATTGATGAACAGAAACTATTACAATCTGATTAATAAAATGAAGACACTGTTGTAAGCTATGGTAAGCTGATAAAGTTGACTATTTTAGTCCGTATTTAAAGATATCACTTTTATAAGGCGATGATAATTTTAATGATGACGTTACATGTTGTAAGCTTATTTTAAAGTTAAAGGTGACGTTACTATTGAAAGGTCACTTTAAAGTTAAAGGTGACGTTACGTTTAAAGTTTAAGGTGACGTTCCTTTTGTGAGGTCATTTTAAAGTTAAAGGTGACGTTACTGTTGTAGGTCATTTGGAAGTTAAATTTGACGTTTCTGTTGTAAGGTCATCTTAAAGTTAAAGGTGACGTTACTTTTGTAAGCGGAGTTTTATGTTAAAGATGACGTTACTTTTGTAAGTTGATTTTAAGGTAAAGGTGATCATATTACTATTGTAAATTGATGGGTTAAGTAAATGTTTGCAAAACCAATATAATCTTATAATCTAATTGAAGTAGCAAATTATTTGTAATTTGATTGTTTAGTTATGAGTTATATTGGATTTAAAAAACCATCAGCATCTTCAAATGATAAAAATTATTGTACTTTTCATGGTTTTAATAATACATTCCTAATGATACCAAATATGTCACAATAAGGAGTTGGTGATGTATGTCAGTTTGGATTACATGCATTTATTGCAATGTTTTGTGGAATAAAGTGCATTTAATAGTGATAAACAATATACACTGTATATACATCTATATGTACATTTCCGTTAAAAAAAAATATTAATTTTTTTCCACATCTCGATGAAAACTCGAAACTACACACTAATTGATATTGAAGTTGCAGAATACTTCTAGCGTCAGTCTTATTTCCACAAGTGTGACTTTTGTGAAATGTGTGTGTCGATTAAATAATTCTACCTTGTATTTACCTTTTATTTCGTACGCAAACTTAAAATAAGTATTCTTTAAGTATAATGTTAGAATGGCCTTACCTTTGTAATTTGATTGTATTGAAGATATGGCGTTTTTTCTGGATCTATGCATGCTTGGAAGATACAAGGAGGAGGTAACTCCGATCACGGAAAATAAAATACACCAGTAATACAGGAAGGCGCACTGTTGCATATCTGTAAAGTACAAGAAATCCTTTCATTATATCTGGCCACAGGGATTCTGTTCAAAGTAGATCCAATTTTATATTCAAAAAATGAAAACATATTGTATAATGCTATTAGCCAAATTTTAACTCCCCTCTCGATTTTTTTTTTTTTTTTTTTTTTTTTTTTTTTTGGTTGTTGTTGATATTCTGCAAAATTGGAATGATATTGAGTAACATGAGTCATGCAGTAAAGAAAATATAGAAAGAAAAAACAATGAGCATTACCCTTTAAAAAATGCATAAAACTGGCGTTTATTTTGTAATCATCTAGTTTTTGTTTTGATCGTTTATCTATAATTTACTGATAATGATTTATCACGGAAACGGTAAAAAATGAAAATTAAAACTGAATCACATTTATTCGAGTCTTAAATAATTCCAAAAGAAAAGAGGAATTGTATAAAGTTATTTGTTTTTTTTTTTCCTGAGAAGTGATTTGTATATGCAAATAAATTCCAGGTGTAAGGGAGGAGCACACCCAGCGACCATTCCCTCCTGCCTAAATTTTGATGTCCACTTATTTTGACTAAAATTATAGAATGATCTTAAGATTTTTTAAAAAATATATATATATTTATAAAAGAATGTTAAAACCAAATTTGTTGTTTTTTGTGTCAATTTTAACTAACAGTTAAGTCTTTTGGCAACAGGCGCTGTATACCTAATCATCTCTTGTCCCCCCTCCCCCTGTTAAAATTTATTCCTACCCTCTGACGATGGTCAAGCATTGCAAACTAATATTTTATACTAGCATGTTTCTGATAGGTATAACAATAAATGTATATCTCCCTTAACTCACCGTTGCTACCAAAAATAAAGAGAATCCACTATCATTTTGACTTGCTTTAAATTCCTTGGGTACACAAAAAATTTAGAATTCAGCGTCACATTATTACGTAAAGAGATGGGAGTTTCTGAATGGTCTTCTTGCTGCTGAATAGTATTCCAAATTTAAAGAAAGTTAGCTCTAGGGAGGTGCGATTGTTTTCAGAGTGTCGCCCCTGCAATGTCACCACGTAGTAACAAAATGAATTCCTTCAACAAAGATGGAACACTGGATAACGAATCAGAAACTCATTGATCCGGATCATTGTAATCGTGACCGGAAGTTGTAGGTAGCTAATCATAAGTTTGATGATGATATAGTAAAAGCATTAGAACATGAAACAAAACACAATAAAAATGAACAAAAGTTAATTAAGTTACACATAGGAGATTGCATGACAGAACATCGTTATTGTTTTGTCGATTGATGAAATGGAGAGAAAATCTGATTCATAACCCAATCATTTCGGAAGTATGTGAACGATCAATTGATGTTCAGTTTACCCTGGGATCAGAGAAAATTCTCCTCCCTTCACTGACTTAACACTCAGCGATAGAAAAATTCGAGAGACTAACCCAATAAAGTACATGTACTTAGAGGTTGCTTTAAGACATTTAATACAAGTTAAAATGACTGGAAAAAAATATACAGTATTTGTTGCTGTAAAAATATAACAAGCAACCTCATGACTCATTTTAAAAAATTGAAGATCATTTTTTATCAATTTTATCAAATCTAGATACGATCCAAGACAAACTGTCAGTGATTTTAATTGCAAAATTAATTGCATCTGTGAAATGAGGTCCCTCGAGCCCTGCCATGTAAAGTAGACCTAAAATTCTTGTAAATTTGATCTGTCTGCGAATTTTATAAATTCCCTTTACATCTGTCTTATAATTATATATTTTTTATTATCTAATTCCAATTGTAACGTGCCATTTGATTGGATAGAGATATTCGTTTATATCGAACATCCTATAATGCAAACGTCACATTGACTAACGGCAAAAACGTATCAATACGCTTGGCGTTAAGATTAAAATTTGTACAATTTGAAGGCATTTTAAAGGGTAAATTGTTTTATTTTTATTCATAATGATAGAAATTTGAATTATAAAAATTAATTTATTAGCTACCCATTTGTATAACCTAGGTTGGAACAGTTTACCTATTTTTATAAACCGCTTAACGCTCTAAAAGCGTAAACTGCCCCGATACAGGTTTTCATTCCTTAGATATATAGAACTACACTAATCTAGCTTAATATTTGGAGAAAGTCAAACTGGCTTATCTTATGTTAGTTGTAAAGCTTTTCATTAACAAGTGACATTGCCAAAGTCTTTGCCATCGTCTGAAGAATGAGAAGGACGGTTATATATTCACAGTGGTTTCATTACGATAGACAAATGTACGATAAAATGAACTATGAGTCAGCGCCAAATAAAGACAACTAATTGTTTTATATACGCATCCGTGCCAGTTTTGTGGGGCTACTGGTCCCCTATGACTGTAGAAGATTAAATGCAAAGCATCGAGATAAATTTGCCACGGACACTATATCTTCTCTGCCACTATTAGGGTTGAATGATCACTAACTCAGGATTCATTTCTGTTCGTTTGGAGAATGTATGTTGAAAAAAATGGAACTATTCCACTTTCCTCTCTACTTTAAAAGACTTATGATATGCTCCTGCTACAGATGTCCTTAATAGGAACGCCAGATTATATTTCGAAGATTTTTTTAAAATATAAACAATTTGAATTAATTGCATCTATTAATTTAAAGAATAGATGCGCTTATTTATGAGGAAAACTTAGTTTCTGCTATTTGAGTTGAGTATGCTAAAAAATAACTATATCGGGATCGGAATATCTCAAATTCCTCCTCTTTGTCCTAGATCCAAAAAACGAAAGGTACACGAATTTTGTAGCAGACAGAATTTTGAAAAAAAAAAAAAATATGATTTCAATCACAGTTTTTTGTAAATAATATGTAAAGTTTATGTAAAATACATAAAATAATATGTTAACGGTGCGACCGTTAGGGCGAGCGCAGATATTTATTCAGGTTTAATTTAGATCGGGCTCGTTCGTCAAATTGCACGTGACATTTGGTGCGTCTAGACTCTGACGTCACATGACGTCGTATTTAAGTTGCATTACCAAACCGAAGTCTGAACATTGTTGACTTAAATGAAGAACGTTTTATTTACTATTTATCAGCAATATATCCATTAAATCAAGGCGAGTTTATTTTTTGTTAGTTAAACTGTTGTTGTTATTCTCGCGAGAACGTAGCTTAAACAAGCGATGCATTGTGGGTCCAGAATTACTGCGGAAAAAAATTCTATTGAATGAATGTGCAGTAGTCCGAATTTTCTCTTCGCCCAGGCGTTGTCGTTAGAGCTCGCAGTGACGAGCGGCGCTTCGCGCCGCTCGCTGCGCTCGCTATAATTGTAAGGTTAATTACCGTTCGCGGTATACCCGGAACGGCCATCTTTATGCTTATTAATAGTATATGTATATTCTTTCATGTTGTTTGCTGCTGCTGCTGCTTGCTGTAATTTGGGGTCGCTCTTTAAGCTTGGCGACCCCTTGCTGCTTTTAAAAATGCCACGACCAACAATCGCCAATATGATAATAAACGTATTTAAAATCATGTTTGTATTGTTTTCCTCTATATAAATGAATGTCATTTACTCCAACCCATCAGTGCAATTATATTGCATCTTCACATTTACACATAAAACAACGGATTTGTGACATAAAGAAACGTTTGACACTTTCACGGTAAAGATTTACGCATAAATTGTATATTTCCGGAGCCAGCACTGAATATTCGGTGTGCTGGGCATCGCAGCCACCTCCAATCCCAGAGAGGGGTCTTAAAATTGTCACTTGCTTTGTGTTTACTGCCAAGCTTTATTAAGGAACTTGTCACGTTAGAATCGGAATATATAAATGCACTCAATCATAGCTAAGTCATATTCTTAATAAAGATAATTTTCAAGCAGATCACTATTAGTGAAATCGATCAGATAATGAATGCAGTGGAAAAGATGCAAAGGGTTGGCACGAAATGTTTGTTTCAGGAACTGGAGTGAAAACGAGGAGACATCACTCCTTAGATTAAAAGACAGATATGAGTTCTATGGCCAAACATATACATATCTGTATTAAGTTAATTAAGTGAGAGAAAAATCTTTTTAAACGTGATTTAACAATAAACTAACAAGAAAATGTAACAGATACTAACAGTGATCAAGTCAAACTGCGCATGCGAAAGAGAGAATGAATGGGTGTAGACATTTCAAAAGTCGATAGAGGATTCTCAAAGAAAGACTCTGTCCCCCTGGACCAATGTCTAGAAATATCATCGTATTTGTTATTTTACAAGACACCACGGAGAATCCGAATACTGTCGAGTATTGGTGTTGAAATTCAGAACTTACGTGGGTAAATAACAGTCAAATTAGCACTACGTAACCTACAGTTGTCAACAAAACAGCAAACAAAAACTTTAAAAAAAAAAAAAAAAAAAAAAAAAAACACCCAAAGAAAACAACTCACCCCTCCCCCTCCCAAAAATCAATCAAACAAATAAAACTTAATTGTTCAGTTGCAAAGATTAGTAAACTCTGATCACTTTCCTATATACTAGTGAGTACTATGAAAATCATCTAGAGACAAGAAAACCCATTAAACACAGACACAGTCGTACTGTTAGTTACCTGTTTGATAGGTGGGCATTAGAAAGATTATTCTATAATCCTGTGACTTGTTAATGCCTGATCACAAACTGATACAGGGTGTCAAAAACATTAATATTCATATAGTTGTGCTTTTATGATTATTGATGATCTTCAGTATTTCATCTGTAGTAAAGCATGAAAAAACCGAAAAGTTCAATTATAGAGATGTTGAAATAGAATAAATAGTTAAGGGTTCATTTATTTGAAGTCAACATGCATTAACACTTCGAGCTTACTTACTTATGATGAACGTGATTCATGGGAGACTAAAGGTGACTTAATAGAACAATACATTCAGAAAAAATGAATAAGAAAAGCTTTTTTAAAAATTTGTTTTACTAGTATTTTGTTTTCATTTCTTATCCTGATAAAGTTTGCTGGCACTTCAGTGTTCTATCAGTGTTCATGTACTTGGATGAACAGGGAAATTATTTGCCAAAGGTTGAATACTTTTCAATTACAAATGATGGATGACTGATAGAGGTGTATTTATAGATATATGTTTAGCATAAAATCATACTATTGAAGCTTCAGGGTCACATTAATGCACAAAATATAAGATGTACATCAAATTTTCTAATATTTCTTTTTGTATTAAATTAAACAACGGCCTACAGCTAAACATTTCTAAACCTTCCTACGTAGAGTTTTTTTTTATGAATAACAGTCAATCATCAATTCAGCGATTAAAACCAATGAATAGCATACAACCCTCGACAGCATTTCCTTCCGCTAATGAGGTTATTTTAATGTAACGTTTACTATGTAATTTGTATATCAAATCTGACCAGTACCGGAAGTGAAGGCATTCCATTTCTGGGCTGTGTTTCTGTACTACTGGAGCAAAATCCTTAAGTAATGTTCATTCTCAATAGAATCGGGTACCATGATAAAATATAAATGTATAGAAATGTTATATATGTTACTTCAAGTAATTTGATATATTTTATGCTACAATAAATTATTGGATCATTATTATTTCCTTAAAATCGAGGAATGTTTCTCTTGCGAAAATAAGTCAACCCAATGGTTTAATCTTTTCCATTTTCAATTATGATTAAAATAATTAATTCCAAATCTCGTATCTGTAACGATCTGCACCATACCAATAGTCACGTGATATGCTAAAACTTCACCTAGTTTTATCGCGACATCTCCCCTTCAGGCTCGAGCATCAGGGACGCTATCTAATACGGCGTTATCTAACTGTAATATTGAAAATAAGTTTCAGAGGGGTACCCCCAAAGTGTAATGATAACTGTTTGATTGTTATTAAGACACATAAAATGGCTTAACTGGGAACAAAAAAGACATTGACTAATTCTATTAATGGCAATATCGAATGAATTTTCAGCTGCTGCCAGCGATCTTCTGTGCCAGTAATTCGTTCTGCTCACTAAAACTGATAATACGTCTAGTATCTGTCAGATATGTGTTTATGCTTTAAGGAAAATTTATATGCATTTAATGTATTACATTCATCGTAAGGAAGAGATTGATTACAATCAAGATGGAATAAAATGTGTTTGAGAAACAATGATACCCCGAACATTCAGTCAATGCAAGTTAAAGTTTCTGAAATGTAAGTCAAACTCCAAGGTCAAGGTCAAGAGATCAAAAATGTTGATACCCAAATAAGGTCTTGTCACAAGGAATACACTTGTGAAATATGAAATCCCTTGCAGCAAACATTCAGAAATTATGGTCAAGGTAAAAGTTTTATAAAAAGTAGGTGAAACTCCAATCTCAAGGTCATGAGGTCAAAAATATTGATATTTTCGAAAAGATCTTGTCACAGGAAATGCATCTATGAGATACGAATGCCCTAGCTCCAAGCATTCAAAAGTTATGGCCAGGGTAAAATATTTTTCAAAAGTAGGTAAAACTCTTAAGGTCAAGATCAAAAGGTCAAAATTGTTTGTACCAATAGGAAGATCTTGTCACAAGGAATGCACATGCAAAATATGAAAGCCTGGGCTTCTAACTTTCAAAAGTTATTGTCAAGGTTAAAAATTTTCAAAAGTAGGTCAAACTCTAAGGTCAAGGTAAAAAGGTCAAAAAATTTTTACCAAAGGGAAGGACTTGTCACAAGGACTACACATTTGTGAAATATGAAAGCCCTAACTTCAACCATTCAAAAGTTATTGCCAAGGTTAAAGTTTTCAAAAGTAGGTCAAACTCAAAGGTCAAAGTAAAAAGTTCATAATTGTTTGTACCCAAGGGAAGGTCTCATCACAAGAAATACACATGTGAAGTATGAAAGCCCCAGTACCAACCTTTCAAAAGTTATGGCTAAGGTTAAAGTTTGGTAAAATTTTGCAAAAGTGGGTTAAATTCAAGAAGTAACTTAACAAATGTCTTGTCAGAAGAAGTACACGTGAAATACGCAAGCCTAGTTCCAACCGCTTAAAAGTATGGGCAAGGTTAAAGTTTTTGCGGACAAACAGACAGACAGAGAGAGGATGGTCAGAGCAAAAACCATATGCCTCCGAATCTTCGATGGGGCGTAAAATACATGTTGGTCGTTTTCAAACATACCAGAAGGACCGGAAATAGAAGACCAAAACGTACAATGAAGCCGGGATTGACGTCAGGCTTCCGGTGCATTGATATTACGGAACCATTTCATTCCTAATAATTTTCTTAATTTCAACATGTTATATCCTTGAATATTAATTTATATCATTTATAGAAACCAGATTAATTTTTTTCATTGATTTTTCTTAATTGAATGAGTGTCATTTTGTGTCTTGGTTGTTTTAGTTGTTGAATTCTTTAATATTAAACTCTGCTTTTACTCCGCGTTAAATAATTTAATTGTGCTATTAGTTCACCTTAAAAACTTAACTGTATGTTTTATTGTTTTACTATTATGCATGCTTTACGTTATGTATATGTTACTTTCGTCAGTCAAAAGCTCATAAGAGCTTCTGCTGTCTTTCACTACTATCCAGACTTTAAATAAAAGCTTATCTTATCTTATCTATCTTAACTTAACTGTGAAATTACTACGCCTTAAATAATTTAATTGTGCTATTAGTTTACCTTAAAAACTTATCTGGCTATTACTCAATATTAAATATTAAACCTAGTATTCCACCCTAATTTTTTTTTTAAATGTGCTATTAATACGCTTCTATTGAGCACAGATAGAACAATTGAATTTTTAAATTTATATAGTTACTTTACACGATCGTTTGTAACGATAGTACTGATGACTTAACAGGTATATACAATATTAAATAACTATAGTAAGGGTAACTTAATGCAACGTAATAAGTAATAAATATATGGTGATAATTACTCAGCAAAGGACGTGGTAAAACTTTTATATAGACATAAATTGTACATAAATCACTTTATATAAAGCTTCTGAGGTTTATTGCTCAGGTCGCAATTCTTGTACAATAATTAATTTGTGTGATGGGGAGGGGGAGTAGATTAGCTCTCTTCTCTAAGGAATTCTGCCTTATTATTGGGTCTTGCCTCTAACACCCAGTTTGTCTCCGGTGTCAAATATCCGGAAAACACAATCCTTACTAAATATTTAATGCCAAATGAAGACCTTTGACATTGTATGTATCTATTATTTTTTGTAATATCGTGTGCCTGTCTGATATTTCATAGTTGTGTTAATATTTGATAAGTAATGTTTTATTAACATTTTTGTCTGATTGCTTCCGTAATTTTATTTTGATATTGAGAAGAAATCGTGAATGAAAAATTTCTTAACTGTCAGTTTATTGGAAAATATAGCAGGCCTGGGCTGATAGCAATAAAATATTAAAGAGAAACAAAAGTATTCAGTGTTATAAAAGCACGTGGTCTGCATTATCAAAGGATCAGACTAATCACAGGAAAAAAAAAAACAACTACCAAACACACATCCCCAACTCTCTACTTCATAACGATGACCAGAGGTAAATAAGACCTTATCTAAACTAAGAATTGCAAGAATCTATAAGAAATTGTTAGTATTATCTTCTGAACCAAATATCCTATAAGTTGAGAAAATTACTAAAATATTGTAAAAATCAAGAGTAAATTGGTTATTTCGATGAATCATTAATCTACTATGTCAGAATCGGGAACATAAATAAGTCCTTCTACGTCAGATGATTAATCTCTGTAATTTTCAAGGTCAATATTTTGATTTTGCTAAATAACATGAGAATTATATGTACAATTTGTCAATTAAAATGTTAGAAAAGTCCTCAGAGTTATAATATTTTTCTATAATTAAAGTCTTCGAAATAACGTTAAATTTCCGTGATGCTATATTTAGTCCCCGGGTGTTCTGATAGACATCCTGATGACGCACCAGAAGTCAGCAAGGGTCAATATGAATTTGTCTGCAATTAGTGTCAACCAATTGCTTCAGATAAATTATTCACAGCGTACAACTTAAACATTTCCGGAATTGATTGCAGCTTGACGAGTTGGGGGAATGATTGTTACTTCAAAATTCTTATAAAATAATTAGAATAATCTTATTGATTTGTACACAAGAATTAGCTACATTAAAGTAGAAACTAAGGTAATAAATGTATTACGATAGAAAATGTATGGAATATGCAAGAAACCATTTCTAAGTTAATTTTTTCATTGATACTACCGAATGAAATAGTCCGATTGCACTTGTTTACCATATAACTTAAAGATGCAACCTTAAGCTACATAAATGTACTCCTGCCATTGGTGAATGATAATCCCCCGTGAATAGTGGGGGGCACTCTCACAAGAGATGCTAGTATTTGTAATGAGTATTTGGTCGATGGACCTAAATCAATGCTACTCCGGCATCTAATTGCATTTTACTGTAATCCTTTCTATTTGTTTGTTGTGTCATCTTTGTTTATTTAAGATATTGAAATTTACACAAGATGGAAAAAATGAAAAAAAAAAAAAATTAGATCGATAAAATCAATCCCGTCATTTAACTCTATACAAACTTAAAGTTGAGAAAAGAGACCTATGTATAGTGTTTTGCAAGTATTAATTCTTACCTTAAATAAAGTTAATCTTCTTCCCGACCTTACGACATAATATTATATTTAAATTGTCCTTAATACACTAAAAATCACAAGATCATTTTAAATAAGAAACCCAGTATATCCTATAGCTCTTGTAACAGAATCATCACCAATTATCATCGAACCATTGAATGATCTGAGCATTAAAATCACAATTGTTGGTATTTTATAATGATAAATGATTGCAAGTTAAATTTGAATTGGGCGCATGCGTGTTCTTCGTTGTCCTTTTTCCTCTCTGGTGGGTGTGTCTATCGGCGGTCAGTTGCTGCGTGTTTATTTTGGGAGCTGACAAATGTAAGATCAATATGCAGTTTATGAGTAAATGATAATTTTTTTCCCTTTTTTCATCTCCGGACCGATACACTTTTTTTCTCTCGATTTGTCGGCAAATGGCACTGACTTTTATACTGGGCCTGGGGAAATCTTCGTTTACTCCTGTTTCTTTCCGGATCTCGAAGCGAAATCATCGGCATCAAATCTCAAAACCTTGTATAAGTCAAGACCAGATATCCGACGGTTTCAACAAGTTTTTTATGATCAAGGTTTAATTATTACTGTCTATACGGCTCTGTAATTGAAATGATACACAACAGATAGCGATCTAACAGTTCTGACAAACTTGATCATAGATTTCTTTAACACAAGCAGTAATAAAAATGTCATGTCCATTATGTCACTAAAAATACGTAGATTCTAGTAGAATATTACTTGTATTCGTCCTCTAATGGCTACATGGTCTAAAAGATAATGTCATATCACTTTGATTTCTCGTATATATATATAAATATATATATATATATATATATATATATATATATATATATATATATATATATATATATATATATATATATATATATATATATATATATATATATATATATATATATATATTTATATTTTTATATATATATATATATATATATATATATATATATATATATATATATATATATATATATATATATATAGGAAGTCAAACCATTCCATTACAAAATTTATTGTCATTTTTAATTTTGTTATATCTCCGGAATATTTCTTTTTAAATAAGTATTTCTAGATGGAATTTATCATATTGCATATTTAAAGTTCTGAATGCTATACACTTAGTCTTTATAAATGAACTTTTTACGTCTTCTTGAATATTTTCAAAACAAACAGAAAAAAGTAGAAGAAAACCAGCTTTATTGGAAAACATAACTTAGCCCATTTCATTTTCGAATACCTAATTTTTTTTTCATTATCAGGAATATTTATAACGTGTTTTGCTTATTTCAGTTTAGTGTTTCGGTGCATTTTATCTGAAATCCACTGTATGAGAAAAAATACTTCGTGGAAAAATTTGCATTTTTTTTTTTTAAGACAAGTCTCATTCACAGTTTCCTTGCTTAAAGCATCATTTTGTGAGCGTTGCGTTTGACTCCATTTCAAAGAAAAATTAAATTAAAAAAATATTGAGAAGACCATTTTCTAGTATCATATTAATTTGTTCTGCTTGAGGTGAGCGCAGTATACTGACTTTATAGCCACAACGATTGTCTGCTGTCGACACAAGAAAGCTGATCATTCTAGCAATTCAGCTTACACGCTGATGTACAAAAAGTATAAGCTAGTAAAGTGGGATTGGTGCTGATAAAAGTTCAATGGATTGGCTTCTGTCAGCAAAGGATCAACGTAACATGGCGTGATATGAATATTGTATGATCTGTTTATAATCACCTATCCACTGATTCATATCACAGCATTTTCTGTGACAGATCCAAAATTCTGAGACCGGGATAGGTGTTTTAAGGAGGGGATTACCCTGAGAAACCAATCTCAGGTTTCACAATTTTTTTTTATGAATCCCCAGATTTGTCATCAACATTTCACTTGTCCCACGACCTAGTTTTGTGAGTCACATGTTGAATGTATCAGTGTACTTTGTCATACAATAAGGAACCGAACTTAACCTAGTAATTTATATACGATTGTGGTCGCCAGACGGCCAGAGAAGTAACAGCGGCTGGGTCACCACAGAGTCCACAGAGTCTCTTCTGTTCCCCCCACCTCAACCGTGGCGAATCAATGGCCCGCTTAGCACACCAGTTACCAAATTTAAGCCCCTTATATCAATCAAAGTGCTGTGAACAACCACTTACATTCCTAATCCCCGGAAGCTTTATTAATAATAGAACAAAAACACTATATAGGGACTATACAAAAACAGAAGCTGATCTTGTTAGAGCTCTGGTCTTATTTTTGACGTTTTTGAAAGGATCTGGTAAGCTTCTCCTAATGCGTACCCCGCCCCATGTCCAAGATTAGAGATCCCACAACGTGGGGATGGACAAAACAGAGTCTGGGTGATTCAGGGCGTGCTGCGGAGATTTAGGTAGCGTTTCTTCAAGTAGCTCTTTGATAAAGACCGACTGCGTCTCCTTTTTTCATTTAAAAAGTAAAGACCGCAGTGAAAATTACTCAACAAATGCGAGATATACGTGTTGGAAGTATCACTGATCTATTTTGTAACACTTACTCAGATCTGCCCATTGATAAACTTTGGGCCTGTGAAGAGATTAAACGAATTTGTTCTCTACGGTCCAATAAGTCTACAAAACATTTGAAAAGCGCCTTTCATTGATAAAAATCGCACAGGAAATGTTATATACATTATACATGTTAATTACGAATGAATCTTAATTAAAAATCTCCAGCGTGGGGCTTTTTCTATCACAGTAATGATAGTAAAGGACTGTGATGGAAGGCAATGAATTCCATTAATTGAATTAATCGAAGTCTGGATATACTACAATGAATGGCCCCTGAGTGTATTAAGTATGAATGGTGTAATGCTATTTGCATAACTATTCCAAAACTGTTGAATGGGAATGGGGGCCAGTCATAAACTGTACACTAATAAAAAAAAAAGCTTCTTTTATATTTTGTTTTAGGGAGTGTCAAGCGGTTTTTTTTTTAGAAATGAAGATTAAAGGCTAGATTTTTTCCCTTTGAAATATGAAAATAGAATATGATTTCCCACATAGCAACTTTGTATCTTTTCAAGGGAAATATAAGTTGAAATATTAAAAAAAAGACGTCAGTATAATTGAAGTATCCTATCTGTGAAATCTTAGAAACTAATACCTCTGCAATTAAATTCTTTTACAAGTTGAACTATATTTGTAATATCAAAATTAGAAGCAAAACTCCTCAAAGGGACGTAGAGGTTAAGAAAAGTAATTTTTTTCCACAGATTTTATTATCATTATTAAAAAAAAATTGTAAAAATGTCCATAAACAGCAATATTTGGTTAATTAATTGAATTTATTAAAGGGAGAATTCCTCCCATCTACCGGTATTACATGTATATACTGAACTTGTGAATATTAAGAGAAAAATAATAATAAAAAAAAATACACATAATGTAATGATAAGAATTCATTAGATGGAGTAAGTTCTTGAAGACTTTAGGTTGATTTGATGACGAATTTTCAATAGGGAAACGTCATTTGGCAATGATTGAGACCAAAAAAAAGATGTCATGAATTTGTAACATATTTAATTAAATCTAGCAGCTGTGTACTTTTTTTTTCCAGATATTGAGGTAAAAATGTAATTTTCAATCAATAAGTTAACTTTTTTGATCATCCTATACTAACTCCCTCACGATTATAAAATTCTCAAAAATGAAAATAACCAGAAGTCTCTGACGAGACTGTAGGTCGGAAAAAGGAAATTGAAACTATGCAAAAGCAATAAATTAAAAGAATGATGCTTGGTTTAGTTTTGAAATCAAAAACCAATATAAACAATAATATATCATAGTGTAGTCTACTTGTGTGTTAAGTACTACTGAAAACAGACTTTTGTAGGAGGAGTAGCATTTTGAAAGAATTTCACAGAAATTTTTAGTTTTAGTAACCATGACAACGCCGTTCATCGAAATCAAATTGATTGTTACAAATATGTATCTTAGTGTAGTCTACTTGAGTACCAAGTTGTATTTAAATTAGACCAAAACTGTAGGAGGAGTAGCATTTTTAAAAAACCATCAGAAAAAATTATATTTTTAGTTACCATGGCAACACCTTTTATCGAAATCAAAAATCGATATACAGAATTATTTTTTCCTGTAGTCTACTTGTGTGCCAAGGTATACTGAAATCGGACCAAAACTGTAGGAGGAGTAGCATTTATAAAGAATTTCGCAGACATTTCTATTTTAGTAGCCATGGCAACATCACCGAAATCAAAAACCGATATACAGAATTATGTATCGTATAGTAGTCTACTTATGTGCCAAGTTATATTGAAATCGGAGAAAATCTGTAGGAGATGTTTTGAATAATTGATTACAGACAAACAGACGGACACCTTACTATCGCATAAGCTCTGACCAGTAGAGCTAAAACTCTGTTTTTGATAAGTATTCATTCAGAGGTAATAAAAATTACTCATTTTTCAATAATCAAGTAAGGTATTTTCTCTGAAGACCATACATTTAAATGTAAATACTATAGTACTTTTTCTGATAATCATTCAGTAATTATCCGATTACCATGAAGTATCCGATACTCATGCAGTAATTTTTTATCCAATCATCTTACAGTAATTTGTATAATACTTTTTTCTGATAATCATAAAATAATTTATTTAATACTCTTGTAGAAATTTATCTAATCATGCAGAACTTTCCACTTTCTCTTATGGCCACTACGTGTATGATATATATTCCGTGAGAATTATGAAGTACTTTAGTACTTATCGTATCATTGAGTAGCATAGTGTGTCACTTTCAATGAAATAAAAACTAAAAAAAAAAAAACATCTATTCGCAAAATGTTGGATGCTAGACAATAAATGTTGTTATACTTTCAAGTTAAAAAGTCAAATTTGATTGGTTTAAAAACATTTGCTAAAAAATACTTTTACCCTACCGTGTGCGTAAACCACGCCCTCTGGGTATATTTAACATTACAAAGCAACGGTTGGCAATGCATGACGACGGGTAACAGTATAAAAAATGTTAACTGCGCAGAATGTCTGCGCGTACGGTTCACCGTGGCTTTTTCTTTTAAATGCATTCGTATAAAAAAAAAATGCATGTTTATTTAGGGTAACATGTGA